AATTCCTATTAATACTTTATCTTCTGTGTCATCATATACTCTGTAAAGTCTCTATCATGTAAGACCCAGTACCACTGTTACACAATAGCTCTAGATGGAAGTTCCGAGTGTGCAGTGTAACCAGTATTACCACCATCAACAAAGAGCAATAGATGCCCAAGTCCTTTAAAAGTTTATGAATGGAGCAGGGTGAAGGGAGAAGTAGAGAGGAGAGAAGAAAGGGTAAAAAGCTAAAAATGAGAATATACTAATATGTATGTCTTCAGAATATTCACACTGATCCTAGAAAGTTTTGGGGCCTGAAATGAACTTCAGTGTTCAGTTCAGATATATTCCCCACCAAGCCCCTTCTATCTTGCTTCAACCAAACACGGGGTCCAGATTTCTATTATATCTTTGAGAATATAATACCTAACAGGTGGCTTTGAAATAGCACTTTCTGTGAATATATCAGAATATAATAGCCTCGTGTAAAAAGATCTGTAAAGAACAAAAGTCTATCTGCACATTCAACTCTCCAATAATGTTTGCCCCATTTCCCCAAATTTGCCCCGAATGGAGCAAAATATTTTCCTGGCATTATCACATGCAAGAAAGAGTGGCAAATGCTCTTAAAAAAGGGTTTATACAGTTATTGGACAAAGGAAGGTGTGATAACCTCTTAGGGCCAATGGTGAAGGAAAGAGGAAAGAGATGGCTCATGAACTAAAGAAGGAAATTCATATGCTGAACTTCAAAGGCTTTATCCACCCTCAGATCAACAAGTGTAACTATCGTGGGGTGGCTGTGAGGGGAGAGCCATTCTGAGGGAGAGTTTACAGCTGGCCTGATTGCTACCTTTCATTAACTGCAGTTGTACAGTGATCTCATGTTCTTTACTGGGGTGCTAATATATGCTGCCAAAAGTTCTTATTGCCATTCTTTAATCCCTGGGAGTTAACAGATAGTTACAACAAATTGGCTCCATCCTAACACCTGTCATTGGACGCCTTACATTCTGGAGCTTTTATCTTCTCCCTGGATATGTACATTTATTAACAGATTTTTTTTTTCCATTCCAGCAAGCTTGTTTGCCTTAAACAGAAATTCTTTTCCAGACATTTCTTCATCTCCAGAGGAAATGTTGCCACAGGAATGAGGCAAGTGGATGCCACCTCTCATATTGACATTATGCAAAGAAAAACACTATTTAAAATTTTAAACCATCTTTACTCAATGATAAACATTGGTTTGGTGATAGGCAGTTAGACAGACATGAGCAGAGCAAGGACGATGGGCCAGGTACAGGTCACCAGGATGGAAAGCCCTGGATGCCTAGCAAAGGACAATTGTAGGGTGTGACCTCGCCTCTAGGGTGGCCTTTCCTCCCCAAGAATGAGTCACTCAGTTTGGGCCCCTTGACCTTTCCTCTCTAGAGATAACATCTAGGCCTCAGTTGTATTCCAGCTCCAGGCCAGAAAAGTAGCAAAACCAACCAGAGCTGCCTGGGAACCTGCTGCATCGGATAATGACCCCCATCCTGGTGCTGACCAATCTATCAGTGGAGATCACAACCCTGAAAGGACATACCTGGAAAGCTGCTGAATCTTACAAAGAGATCTTCCCCTGAAGTCTCCTCCCTTAAAACCTTTAGGATGGAGGAGCCAGCACTCTCCCTCTGGGAAGCAGCCAGAGCCTTTGTCTTTGCCTTTCCCTTCCACCCTGTCTCCCCACCCCCCAGGCACTTTACCATTAGTTTCCACAGTCCCATGCTCCAAGGGCCCTTCTGTGCCTCTACAACTTGTTTCCTAAGCCCATTTCTTCTAGAAATTGCTTCTTCCACCTCTGAAATTTTACCAAACAAATGTTCTCTTGTAGTTCGGGTCTTGGCTCTGAATTCTTTCCTAGCCAGAACCCAAGTACCGAGGTTGCTGAACCCAGGTTTGGTCTGACCCCATGGGCCTAATAACTCATGCCACTCCCGCTGCCTACAAAAGTTTGATAGCTCAACCACAGCCATGGATATTTACAACCTACCAACTGTCATGCATTTTCTATCTATAACTTATAAATTCCAGGCTTTGCATCTTTCACTGAGGCTTAATTGCTTATCTGATGAACACCATTTTTTACCTGAATGAAGCATTTGCTAACTCGACTTCACGAAATCACCTAACATCACTCACATAGAGTGTTTTTGGATCTAACTCAATCAGAGCCAAGCTAGTGTTGAACTTCACATCTAATTCTATAAATTATCCCATGCTTCTGTTTGGGGGAGAGCAAGGATCACTTGCCCTTCATCTCTATTGTTAGTGTGAGTATTTACACGCCCTGTACTTTCAGAGCCAACATTTCACAAAGAAATAGCGAGTGTTTATCACTTAACCAGATGCAGACGCTGGGTGATTCACCAGGCTTCTTCCCAGCCAGGTGATTTATTTCCATAGTCCAGCCTCCCAGTATTTACTTAAGGAAAATTCAAGGTAGTACATATGATAGGCATTTTAACTAACTCATGACCAAATAAAGCACAGGTAATAAATCCTTGTGCACTCCTACTATAGGGAACTTAGAAAGGTCTCCAGGTCCTTGTATGTGTGTTTCAATCCATAAAGAAAGCACTATCTCAACCCTCTGCTTTTCCTCCTAGTTCTGGGTCTTTACTCAAAAATCTTCTCAGGGATGGGTTTCCTGACAGTCCTCTTCCTTCCTCTATACTTTCCCCTTCCCTACTCTCAACTGGTCTTAACAGAGTTGATAACATTTCCCTCTGAACATTGTACTACAAATATATCTCCTTAGAACATTATTCACATTTTATTATATATATGTTGTCTGTATGGCATCATATACTATTGTATATCACTATATGTGTGACATCACACACACACACACACACACACACACACACACACACACACACACACACACACACACACTACAAGACAGTGAGCCCCTTGAGAACAGAAACCATGTTTTATTTATCTTTCTAACCTAGTGTTTTGCACACAGCCAGGGACAGTAAATAAATGATGCTGAATTTTTTTCAAGGCTAAGAGTAAAAATCTGTTTTGTTTTTCCTGGATTACTTCTCAGAAGATAAAAGTGGTTTGAACTTTACTAACTAAATAACGTGCCATAAATTATGTAGGAATGCGTTATCGTGACTCTAATACTCCGGAAAGAAAAAGTGAAGGATTAATATTTGTTATTTACTCAGCGTTACACATTTAGGCACTGAAAAATAAGTTGTAGAAACCGGATCTCATCACTGACATTGTCGCGCTCTATCCACTACTTTACGTTGCTCATTTGCGCATCTCATAACCTCTACATGTAATAAAGTTTCCCTAGTGTAATATGCTTTGTACTGAGAAGGAATATCAGTTCCATGTGTGCAGTCAGAAAAGGCCTGACTTCTTCCTGTCCTTTTATGTAATAGCCATCAGTATTATTTTCGCCTCAGCTTTCCCGGTTGGACAGGGGACAATACGCTGCAGTGACTGTGAGAAACCATGTAGGACACCCCAGCTTTCAGACAGTGTGTAAGCAAATAGCTGTATCGTCTGTGCTCCATTTCCCTCGCTGTGAAAAACGGAAAGCATAATATTTAACAACATCACCAAGCTATTGTGAGGGTTAATTAGATTTAATGGGGGAAGGGAGGTGAGCTGATGAGGCACTATTCAAATTCAAAGAATCATTATTTTGTGTCTAAAAATAACCCAGACTTAGGAATAAAATTAATTTGGAAGCTCAATCTTTAGTAATCATCTTCCCATACTTAAAAAGAAGCAATGGCTTTTAATCAAAAGCCCATCCTAAGCACAATTCAGTGAAGTGAAAATGGATACCTGTGAATTTCCATTCACTTTTGAAGTAAACAGTACACAGTTCATATTCAATCCTCTCTCCTTCCCTCTCATTTTTCTTTTAAGATACTTTATGTAGAAAGGCTAATTTTGTGTAACAGAGTAGTTAATGTAAACAAAATGGATTTTAAACCTATATTTATTATTTTTTGCTTCACATAAAACATTTATAAAACACCTTAAATTGCTTCTTTATAGACTCAATCAATGTCTTGTGGTTGAACTAACTTATCAGGTCATTTCCATCTATATTTTTGTTCAAAAGCTAGTCAGTGAAAGAAAGTATTTGTATTCCCCAAATTTAAAAATAAAATACCAGGATATTTAAGGCTCAGTCAGAAAAAAACATCTAAATAGCAATCATCAAAATTAATATGATAGATTACTTTACTATGAAAATCATGAGAAATGGAAGTTGGTACCCAAGAAATATCTGAATTGTTGGTAAAATCTCACTAAAAAACTTACAGTATTTTGAAAAAAGGGGTAACATTCTTTAAAAACAGTGGACAATCCTGGGAAATGTACCATATGCATTAAGAAAAAAATGTTGNACTTACAGTATTTTGAAAAAAGGGGTAACATTCTTTAAAAACAGTGGACATCCTGGGAAATGTAACATATGCATTAAGAAAAAAATGTTCNTTCTTTAAAAACAGTGGACAATCCTGGGAAATGTACCATATGCATTAAGAAAAAAATGTTGCGCTCAGTTTTTAGTGAGTGAAGAGTTTTGGCTGGAAAGGAATTTTCCAAAGGAAAGAGAGACAACATAGTTTAGTTAGTAGAAACACATTCTCTATAGTAGGAATTTTCAACTTTTTTCATCTCATGGTACACATAAACTAATTACCAAAATTCTGTGGCACGCCAAAAAATGTATTTTTTGCTGATCTGACAAAAAAATAGGTATAATTTTGATTCATTCACACTGGACAGCTACTGTTGTGTTGGCTGTTGTCATTTTTTTAAATGTGACAATCCAAGAGAAAATAGCTATTGCACGTTTTAAAAATTCTTGTGGCACACCTGTTGAAAATTGCTGCTCTATGGAGGAACAGATATAATTCTCTTTTGTTTTAATACAGCCCTCTTAAAATTTCTCACAAGACTTAAAAATTCTCATAATTTAGACTGTGTACTCACCAAGCAAACTTCTGATTATTCATTCGACTTCCCCGGACCCTTGATACTGGGGACGGATGTACCCTGTAGGTAGATGAGAATAATCCCGTCATTAAAAAAGCATATTCTCAATTACAAATTAACAAATAAAAAGGAATCTGGTGTATAAATAATCTCTTTTAGATTTGCTTAATATAGAACCCCCAAGAACTTGATCACCTCTTAGTAAATGGCCGCAGTTAAGTTCCTATGCCTGCAGACCTGCAGAGTCTGTCTCTTTTTCCTTCTGAACCCCTTGTAGCATAGCAAGGGTTTGCCATATGTTCACTGTGAAGACCTCCAAAAGCAGGACCACCAGTTTTAATAAACTGATTTCATTCATTCAATCCAACAAAAAGTTACTGACTCGTGAGGTTTAGGTAAAAATAATGTAAAGTATGGTACTTACCCCCAGGGGGCCCCTTTGGCTACCTGTTCCCACAAGGGGGGCATAAGAGAGTCTAAGTGAACACTTCCTCAGTTAACTTCTAGACTTAAAAAAGGCTAGATAATAAAGGGGATCAGGATATGCCATCCCATAATAGGCTACTTTGGCATGAGTATTATTTTGAGAAACAGCAGACATAGGAGGTGCTCTCTATCTCCCTTTTATAGGCCTAAGAGCAGGGCATAAACTTGTCTTTTGGAAAGAAAATTTTCACTTATAAGAGTGTCCCCCTCTCCCAGACCAGGAAGAGTGGTACATGGTGTAACTCATTACCGGAGATGGTACTGAAACGAGTCTCCATAAAAAAAACCCTATTTACCATTATTTTCCCCATGTATTTCCTAGTCACCTTCTTACAACTTACCCCCTAGAAGCCCAGACACCCCTTCTTTTGACTAGTCCTCTCTCCACAATTTATCACCCTTTGTTAAAATGGCATATAAACTCTAAATTCTAATCCCCTTTCTGAGTTATTTATCACTGAGTACTCCTACATGCATGCATGTTGCACACATAAAACATTTTTCTCCCTTGCTAACCTATCTTTAGTCAGTTTAATTTGAAGGCCCCCCCTAGACACTGAACCTGAGAGGACACAGGAAAAGCTTTTCTCCCCCACTTCAATAATTTCATCCAAATGCCCAGGAACAGAATTTGTTGGAATGGGGGAGGAAGGAAGGGCAAAAAGTTATTTCTAGGAAAGAGACCTTCTAGATGTGATGCTCTACAGCTTTGGGCTTTGAGGAAGGCAGGCAATTCAAAACTTTTGCCAAATAATGGAGAAGTACAGACTATACTGTTTTACAAGCTTCCAGGGCTGGAGTCATCCACTGGGACTAGTTTAAATTTCCAGGAACTGCTGATATCTTCCAATCACGAGCTAGTGGCTGAACCTCTACCTCTTTGTGGGTCACCAACTGGCAACACAATATGCCCCACTTCCAGCTTCCTTGTGGCCAACTTCCCGCTTTGTTCTATCTTTACTAGGATTCCTGAGATCTAGGCAGTCTTTCAGCCTGTGTTATCTTTACTCTTTATGTCTCAGACATTACTCTTATTTACAAGACAAGAAAGAAAACAGGGATTTTAAACTTGTGTTAAAGTCCCTTTAGAACCAAAAACTCCAAGGTTCCTTAGAACCCCAGTTCTCCATAGGTGCTTCGCAAGTGAAAATCATTTCAAAACACATAATACAGTTCTAGCCACTCGGAAGGGCCAACTTGCAGTCCTTCAGTAAACCCAGAGCCAGACCGCACTTTGCACTCGGAAGGCTTATTCCTTCCAACATCCCTTATTAACATTCTTTTCCTCACAGCCCTTCTCAATGGCTGCTGCAGCTGAGCTGCTCAGCACAGATTTTCTGCTCCACATGGGGGAGGGGATGTTAATTATGCAGAAAGATGGAGAGAGGCCAGACAGCCCCTCTGGTGAACTGTCTCATTCAAGCGAGGCCCACTTCCTGCTGTTTTGCAGCTACAAGGATCACCTGTTGGTCTTGGCGTTGGGCCAACCTGGGGCCTAGCGGAAATGACAGACTCAGCTAGAAATGAAAGCCTGTTCAAAGTCCAGTATCCCAAATTGAGGGCAGAGAGAAAAAACATGCAATAAAAAACATATAAGAATTACACAAATGGTAGAAACTCTCTCTTTTCTTCTTTCTTTTTTTCTTTCAGTCTGCTTGAAATACAATCATCTACATGGAACCACGAGCCAAAAAAGTGTCTCCCCAGTTAAAGCCCCTGCCCTAAGGGGAAATACAGGAAGCCCTCTTGAATCTCACCTATATCCCCATTGGTGTGTCAGTCACACTGCCCAAATAAAGTTTTAAAAAGTAATAGCCCAAATACAGTTATTCAATTCACTCTACAGCTTTTAAATGTTCACCTCTTTTATTGCTTCCTCCTTAACCCTAGTATTTCTAGTCATCAAGGTAATTCCACCAGTTGCAGTTTGCTAGAAGATATACTCTATTGATGGTTCTCACTGCATATATCAGTGGAGAAAAATAGGCCTGTTCAACTTATAATTACAATATTCTCTAGGTATTTGTACCTAGTAGCAAAACTTCATTGATCCATCCATACATCAAATACCACAAGCAGATCATTTCTGTAACAGTTTAACAGTCTTTGAAGAATTCCTGACTGTGTGTGTGTGACCCAATAGTTATAACGTTTCTTAAAATGGTAAAACAAGAAAGCTTTTTCCCCTTCCCCAAATTAGTAAACTGATATCCTGGAGTTTACTTCATCTGATAAAGTACCCCATAAATGTTTACATTTCAGCTACCTCACACATTTTATTTCTTCATAAGGATATACAGTGTGTTTGTGAGCTTAGTCTTTAAAGTGTAAATTGTGACAGTTTTTGCCATCGCCTGCCTTCTTTCCCCATATAGTAACCAGGCAGGTAGCAAAGTCAAAACCCCAGTAGAAGAAACCACCACCTAATCTGCATGCCATGCATTATTCATGACCCCCTGATTCCTGCACCTGCATCGAGGCAGGAAGCTTGCAGGGAATGTTCATTATGCTTCCCTTAGCCCCACACAGGCTTGATTACTGCTAAGCCACTTTGTTCTGTAACTAAGGGTTTCAGGCCTCAGTACCAACCGCTGGATATGGAAAGAAAAAAATCACCACGCTGAAGAAAGGTCAATCTTGGTTGTTGTGTAACATGTATAGAATCCCACAATGTGCTCTTCTGAGACTGACAGTTGATGTCAGATGGAAATGCTCACACTGGTGATTTACATTACATAGAAAATGGGAAGCTGTACCATTAAGGCCACGTGTACCAACTGTTCTATTTATATACACTTACTCCAGTATCTCAGGCAGACAGCATTTCACCCAGTGCTGGGCTCAATTTAGTTTTCCTGCTAAGCATGTGAGAAACTTCTTAGACATCTTAATATAGAAATGACTCTTCCTTCTTTGAATATAAGCACCAAAGGACCTAACCCTCAAATCTTGTACTTTAATGACTAATACTTATAGTTAGGAGAATATGATCACTCTGTTCTTCAAAGTTTTCATGAACCTACCTGAATGGCTGGTGGCTGGAGGTGGGATGTGAAACCCGGACACCCAACACAAATTACTGATCACTGATGGACTGCTGGGGAAGGGTACCAATCCTACTTTTTTTCTACTTCCAACAGAAAAGCAGTGACCACTTAAATTCAATCTTGTAGCCCCAATGGAATTAGGATAAAGTGGATAGGAATCCATACCGTGTAACCAGCTTGCCTGGGATGGGATTCCAGCTCCACCATTAAGCAACAGTGTCACTCTAGGGCAAGTTACTTAACCTCTCTGTGCTTCGGTTTTCTCGCCTGTACAAATGGAGGCAATAACGATAGCCACCTCTGGGGCTGGGAGACTTAACTGGGTTAATAGCTGTCAAGTGTTTAGAACAGTGCTTGGTAACCAGGAAGGAGTTGATCCATGTTAGCGATTATCACTATCAGTGCTGCTTATATTGGAAGGATGGGAAGATGGAATTTGAATACTCATCTCATTCCAGGGGACTGAGGTAACAAATGTGCTCTGTAGAGCCTGCAGTCTTAACGACTCCGCTTATATGACTAAAGATGAGGTAACAGAGAGAAATGAACACACAGAGAGCAGCACTAGCCAAATGCTGTGATTTCTAAGGTATGGCTTACTCTGTGGTACCTCGTGGTTGTGTTGTGTATTAAGACCACGCTTCTGTTTACTAAATTGCATAGTATTTCAGTTATGTCCCATTCGAGAACAAGTCGATAACCATAGAAATATAAAATCACTCCCACTGACTACGACCTTACTATGTGCCAGAGACCATGCTTAGGACTTCAGATACATTATCTTATTTTATGCTCATATCTTTATCATCCACACTTTAACTCTGAGAAAACAGGTTTATCAGAGTTAGATCACTTGCTGGGGTCACACAGCTCGTGAACAGTAAATTCATAACTCGAATGTAAGGTACAGCTGACCTGTCCTACTCCGGATTACCTTCCAATCCTTCTGACCACATCTACAGGGGTGGGCAAAAGTAGGTATACAGCTGTTCATATGGAAAATAATACAATAACTAATAAATAATAATACAAGAATAAACTCTGCGTTTTCCATACTCACAACAGTAAACCTTCCTATATGCCCACCCTATCCTAGAGGATGCAATGAAGTCAATCAGCACTAGGGGCTTTAATGAGAGATATAGCATTTATTTATGTCCAACTGTACATTCTATAGTATAAACAGACGCAAAGTAAAAGTATTGGTTTTCTTGGCCTAAAGTTGGCACTGGACTAAAGAGCAAGCATGTGGTACTTACAAGAAACACAGTCACAGTAATACATAAGATACTATGTCTCCCTTTAACTGTTTAGGAAAATTCCTTGTTACTAGCACTGCTATTTAAATACAAAATGTGCAACACATGTAAGTTTTAGATGGTAAAATTAATTCTACCTACATCCACTCTCTCTATTTCCATTTTTCCTAGAACCCAACCCAGTTTGTGTCCACGCCTCTCTGATGAAGTCATTCTCATCATCACCATCAACGGCCTCCCTGTTTTCAAATCCAACCCCTAATCTCCA